AAATAGTTATCCCTCATACCTTAACCCACAAATAATGCTAACTTATTAACCAACAAAAAACAATAGATATACATATATATAAAATATATATATATATATATAATGAATCAGATATGAACCATGAAAGTTTGCTAATCAAAGACGTGGTCGGTATTATCTAATTCTTACGTTTCAAATATAAGAAGGAATTAATTTTCAGAAAGAAAAAAATATATAAGAAGGAATTAACCCCATATGATTTTAAAATATTGTTTGTTATAAAAGAAAGATATAGTATAAATTTTATGCGACTTGAAGAGATATTGATGTGTACAGTGTACATAACTACATATGATGCATACTGAATTCAAAAACAGAAGAACGAAACATCCTTAATATAAAGAATTACGTTTTCTTTTGTTTGGTTTGGTCGTATACGGTCAATATATAGTCAACTAAATAGAAAAAGATAGGTCAATTCATTTATTCCTAATCTATTCTATTAAAACAAAAACACATTTAGTGCTTGCATCCAAACACTCTCAAAGTTTTTTTATAATATTTTATTTTATTTTTATATTTAATTTTCGAAAATTAGTTATAAATTTAAATATTTTAAGATTTCCTAAAATCTAGGTCATCTTTAATTTAAATTTCAAATTATTAGAAATTTAATTAAATTTAGTTACAAAAATTTGCATTCAATTTAATTTAAATTCAAAAAATTCAAAAAAATATATAATTAAATTTTATTACGAAAATTTAGATAATAATTTTAATACTTTAGAATTTATTAAATACAGGAAAGATTTAATTTAAAATTTAAAATTTAAATAATATTTTTATAAAAATGCATAGTAAATAAATTTTTAACGTATTTTATCATAAACAATCAATCTAAAATATCAAATATTTGAGATTAATAAATATTTATATAATACAATAACATGATCGAGCTGATTAGAGTTATATATATATATATATATATATTTAAGGTTTATGAGTTAATTTATTAAAACATATAAGATATTAAGATGATTTGAGACAATTAAACTAACAGATTAGCCGTTTATATATATATATATATATACATTTTTTTAATAGCACAAATAGTAAGTAAATATCTTATTATATTTTTTCATAATCAATTGGTCCAAATATTCCATATTAGTAAATATTTATAGGGTTATACAATTAGAATTATAGTCTTATACGAGTTAGTTTGTCAAAACATGTAAAAGATTAAAAATAATTTAAGAACTAAACAGATGGATTAGCAAATTCATAGATATATAGATTGTTTATGTGTAAATCTAAATTCACATAATAACAAAGTTTATAATTAACATTAGATCAATATATATTTAATTAATGTATACTCTTATTCTACTAATATACAAATTTTACTGTTTAAAATTAAAATATAATAACAATTTTTTGATTTAAAAAAATAACAAAAATAAATTATATCTAAACAAAAAAAAAAAGATAAATACAACTTATATTAGAAATAAAAAAAATAAAACATTTCCGTGCGGACACACGGAGTTAAAATCTAGTTTTATTTTAAAGGAAAAAAACAAAAGTGTGTATGTGAGATTACATCACTACAAGCAAAGTAATGTATTTCTCAATTAGTATTAAGTATATACTTATAGAAAATTAAAAGATGTAATGTCACTTTTAGCTTCCATTTATATTTTCTTGCTTTGGAGTGAGTATTAGTTAGTCCATATTTAGTCATTTTTGCTTTGAGTCAAAGCTATCTTAAACAACTCTCTTAAATAATCAAAAACTTTAACGTTCTTTTCTCGATATCCTATTTATAAGTAATAGTGATATGGTAATAATGATTTGATCTCGTCTTAAATTCTTTTTCAAAAAAAAGAAAAAAAATCTCGTCTTAAATTCTTAAAGAGCTTTGATTACTCAGTAAAAAAAAAACAATTGCATCATGCGGGTTTAACAAAAAAAAAATCCCTCTCAAATATCTAATACAAATCATAAAAACAGTTATATATACAATTTTACAACAGATAATTTTATCTATTAACAATATTCCATGATTGATGGTTCTAGTTGCACTAATCATTCTGCTAATAACTCTATTGCACCATGCTATAAATTTTCAGTAAATTTTTCTCCTTTAATTTGCATTTTTCAAGAATAAACTTCAATATAAAAGCATTAATAAATGTCTGGTCAACTACTAGACTAAAATGATTCTATTGTGCGGGTTAACAAGTAGATTAATTGTTTTAATAAAATGGTGAAATACTTTTTATATAAATATAACATTTATCTTTCAAATAAATAGTAAATATATTATTTTGTACCATTAAACTATATATAAAACCTTTTTGATTATTTTTCTATAATGATTTTACGAACATTCCTAGTCGTGTCTACAATTTTGTCAAAGCAAAGACGATAATTTCACCCAACGTAATTGTTTTGAAGGTTTAATTTACATTATGATATTTTTTTCTATAAGATGTAATCCTACAATATATAAAATTTACCCTTCCAACAAGTACGTACCTAAACCGATTCGAAAGCAGGAGACAGCACACCCCCCAAAACTCTCGGATTGTATTCATCTTGTATACGTTAACCAAGAAGATTTGCGCTATATCAAAAATTCAAAATAATTAAACTTATATTGTCTTCCAAAATTTATAATTAAAAATTAATATTGTAGCTAAACCACTAAACCAACATGTTGAATATGATGTGGGGATGACATCTCTTTGATTGTTATCAACTGATCAGTTTGGATAAAAAAAGGGAAAGGGCCTTTTAAGACTATCTCTCTCACACACACAAAACACTCTCTAACTACTTTGACAACTTCTTTACACTAAAAAAGCAATAGCGTGAGTGTAATGATTTCCTTTTTATTCGCATTAAGTTTCCATTGCATATTTTTCTATGACTCATAAACTACCAGATTTGTATCCAAATGCGATAATAATACAAACTACAAACTAAAATACAAACTACAAACTACAAACTATATAAACATTCTGATGGAGCATATATAATTAACATTAACACCAAAAAAACTATATAATATTTTAATTTATTAATATATCTTACCATCATTTTGATGGAGCATATTCTCAGGTAAAAAGTTCTATATATTCATAATTCATATATATGTTTGCATAGTGAATTTCAAATACATCCAAATTTAAGCATCATCTTGAATTCTTGACCATTGGCTTAAAGTATCAAGCTTCTTAGCCAAAAAAGGCTTTTCCGGGCAATATACGATTGATACCAATGGTCTCAGATAATACTCAATGCAGTTAATTCGGCATTGTGATTAGTGTCTGTAAAAACACAGCCAATACTCCAATTATCAAATTGACTTAGGCCGGTTAGTGATATTTTCGAATAGTCCCCGAAACAGACGGTAGTTTCATGAACAGAGTGTTGCTGCATCCTTTACTTGAGTTTTGTAATATACTCTAGATAACTTCAAAAGTTTGATTAATATATTTTCTTAACAATACGTAAATAGCAATGACGATTCGTTAGACGTCATTGTGATACAATCGTTGGACAGAACTTTAAATTAAAAATAAAAAGAAATTTACGTTAACCCAAAAAAAAACATTAAGAGATATAGAGATATAGTATATGAATGCTAACGTTAGGTCCATTATCTTACACGCATGTATTGTAGTAGGTTTTTTTATTAGTAAGCTTGTAAGATCTATATCTATCCATTACTGTATTCTATATACAGGGGTCACTTTTTTTTATTATTTGTGGATATATTTGTTTACTAGCGAAGTTTCTTAAGATCATGTGACGTGAAGCATACTTCATAGATTATTGACTAATCATATTTTATATCCGGAATAATATAATATTCACTTGAGTGACCAATATTAGTTAGCCAACTTTGAAAAGATTAGAATATTAATTAAAACCCTTTTTGACATATAAGTATGAAAGTATTATTAATAATTTAATACTGTCACCTTTCTACTTTACAGACTTTGAACATCCTTTCCACTTAATCCCAACACATTCTTCTTCAAAAGGTTTTTTCTCACATTATCACTGTATCTTATATTCTCCTCCTTTTCTGTTACTCTTAATACATATCAAGATGGAAAACAAAATATTGTATAGTTATATTAGTGACGCGCTAATAGGGAACCAAAATTTGCGCATGTATTCCGAATTTTCAAGGGTGTTCACTTTCAATATTTGTTTCTGTAATAATCATATCGCTATATACAAAAGTACGGTATATTTTAAATAGTCTCCAACAATTAGCTTCGTAAACAAGTGTAATGGATAAATACAAATTTAGTTAATCCCGAAATAGAATGTTCTCTATATTTAACTGGAAGCATAGTTCTTGAGATTATATCTGCAGCTCAAAGTTCAATATTTACTCGATTATTTGAAATATGGGTTTAGCACAAAACATGATACACATGGAGAGTTGGTGTAAAATATTATAAAATGAGTTCGCATAATTAAGTAATTATTTACTATAATCACATAATTATGCGTGTCCTTGAATCAAACCAAGATGTGATTTAAGTACTTGATTTTTGGTTGTTCCCAAGTTTCTTAGAGGTGACGTTTCACAAATTGCACGACAAAAAGTATGGAAGGAAGAGAAAATAAATACTAAAGAAGAAATTTGAGCACGAGCTACATTCCTATATACTACTCTTTCAATATATTTTTGAATCTTTTATTACTTATAAATGTAAGTATTGTTGGTTTATAACCCTTAGAATGGTTAATTTTAGCAAAAATTCAACAGCATCAATTCATTAACCATTAATTTATCTACATTTTGCAATTAATCCATTAAAGAATTGATAAATGAACGAATTCTTTAACTTTTTTTTGTTGTTCTATTAGCTCACTAAATTTTAAAAGCCACCAATTACCACTATCAGTTATCAGTCGAACCCATCTAACAACAGTTTTTGCAAACTTACTAGAAAAGGATTGTATGTATATCATTACAGACCTAATTTCGATTTTGTTGGAATAACTTTCATTCATTATAAAATTTCCATACAAAAGAAGCAGGTAATGAATGAGTCGTATATAAGTAAAATATAATGTCTAAAAGTCCATAGAAGTTCCATGAAGATCACAACTTTTCTGCTCACACTCTAACTTGCCCCATCTTGCATCCACTCTCTCGCAAGGGAACACCAATTTTCCCAAACTGCCCCAAGAAAAAAAAAAAACAATTAGAATTGCACAGATGGATCATTAGTTCTCAAATCTTTAATTTCAGATCCTCAAAAGTTTTCGATTCCTTTTTAACTATGCCTCATAACTTTGAGATGTACAAAATATCCCCCAATAACCTTGCTATGCTAATATTACTCTTCTTTCAGTTTACCTTCTATTTACGGTGTTGTGTACATGGCAAAGCCACTGCGAGAACTCCTCCTGAGATCCAGCTTGAGCGGGATTCGATCTATCATGAACCAAATCAAGACAGAACAAGTGATCAAAACCGATTACACTACGATGCAATGAGCTACAAGATAAATTTACCTTAGGATTTCTTTGAAGTGATCCGCGCATTCTCTACAAGGGTACATTCGAGAAAGTATAGCCATCTACACCGAAAACAGTGTTCATTATTAGCTTTCACATGAAGAACACTTGGGACTGCAGGTTCTTGAGAATAACTGGTCGAAAAGGTTTATCCATAAATTATATGTAATAAAAAATATTAGCCTAGGGCAGGAAGAGTTGTACCAGTTCTTTAACATCCTTCTTTTGCTGCCTTGTTGGTTTTTCTGGATACTGATGAGAAAAAGAAGGTAAAAAAAAGAAATATCTGATTCAGCATACATACTCGAGTTTATCCAATTCACAAACATCTACTTGTAAACTGCTAGAGGTTGCATCAATGTGACAGCATTGAAGTACGAGAATGACAGAAACGGAACAAGAATCTTTTATTTCACTCTTTAAAATCAATGAACAGAGAGCAACCCATAAAAAGAACCAAAAGTGAAGCAAAAAGAACTCTCAACTCACCCTAAGCCCAAAGGCTAGCAAACAAACAACCAATACCTAAAAGATCTCTGTTCATATGTTTCAAGGAATATAAATGGATGATAAGTATGGTTAAGGCTCGTTTATTCAAAGAAAGATAGTCACGAGTGTTCAACCAAATTGTCAAATACAGAACCTGCGCAGCAAGAGTGTGCAGAAATGTCCAAGTAGCCCTACCGAGCTCCTCTTTAGCTACAGGACCTGTAGACTTTTCCTGAAAGTTCAGAATTTGGAGTAAGTTTGGTGTAAACTGTAAGAGTTGCAAATGTTCGTATCAAAAAAAATCTATATTGCAATGAAATGAAGATGGGTTCGCATAATTACATATGAAACCCTCTTCGATGAGTGTTTAAAGGTGAAACTTTGAGCAAGGAAACCTTGAAATTTGGAAAAAAGTTATCAAATTTCCAACCATTTGTTTTGTAACAAAGCCAAGAGAGACGATTTCTGAAGCGAAGAAAGGTGCTAGAAAACGAGGCCCAGGAAAGGGTTTCATTGGGGAATTTCATCGAACACGTTGCTGGTGATCATAAGCAGGTTTCAAACAAACCCGAAAACTAATTGAAACCGGATCAGATTCAAGAAAAGATTCGTACTTTGAGAGGACTCTTCTGAAGAGTGGAACTATTTGTTGCGATAAGCGGGGAAGAGTCCAATGAGATGGGGTTTTGGATTGTGGATGACGAAGGAGGAGTAATTTTGATGCCGATGAAGTTGGAGAGATGAGTTTGGACGCAATTTGATAGTTTCTCGAAGGTCTGGAGAAGAGGCTGCCATGGGTTCTCACTCATTCTTTGTTTTTGTTCCTCGGAGAATCACAAGAGACAAAGAACAATTGTAGTGAGAGAGAGATGGTGGAGACTTGGAGACCGTTGCTTTCCTTTTTGTCTTAATTTTTTCTTTTTTTTGATATAGACCATGACTGAGTATTATTTATTTGCAGCAAAAAAGAAAATAATTGTAAAGATAATTTCCAAATTTTGTATGTCATGACTATAATTCCTTTTTTTTCATATACTAATTTTTTTATCATTACTAAACCTAATTAAATAACATGAATAAAACATCAACTTAAAAATTAATCCATATACATCTGACTTAAATCATTTGAAGTTTAAAGATAAATTTATGCTCATTTTAATTCGGTATCATAATCAAAATTAATTTTTTGTTACGGTATCATGATTAAAAAGAAACTTAAGACCGGCTATAGAACGGTATCATGATTAAAATTAAATTAATTCGGTATCATGATTAAAATTAAATCTTTGTGGAAGTTTTCATCAATATCATGTCGCTCATCACTGGCTTTGTTGCAATAACCCAACTTAACTATCAAACGTTAGGAAAAAACGATTTGTGGTTAATCATTGTGTTGATCCTAGGGATCACTAAGTGTATTTAACAGATGATGAGAATGATTAGAGATGATTTCGGGGTGAGATTTTCGTATAATAAGAGTGATTTAGCTCGGGGAGGAAGAGAAAGTGTCAGCTCGGAGCCGTGAAAGGTATTTGTAAAGAGAGAATAATTAGCGTTTCGAACTAAGTCTGGAAAGAGTCCAGTTCGGTGCTTTTAATAATGTTACAGCGAACTCGGTAGAGAGACAAGTGTATTAAAGTAGAGAGAGAGAGTAATAAATTTCCGGTCCCCTCATAAATGATCTATGGGGAGTATTTATAGCGGGAGCCAGGAGACGAGTTTCCTCCAAATTGGGACGACGTGGCAGCTTCGGCGCATCTCGCGGGTATGGGGTCTCGAGCCGTGCGTCCGAACCACTCCGCGGCGAGTGATGATGGTCCTTCGCCGAGCTACTTGCGCATATAGGTTACTGTAGACGACCTGCTACTACACGTGTCGTATCCTGCTTGGTTCCGGGTACTGTAAATCGGCGCAGTGATGATGACGATTTAGGCGGGGTCATGCTGACTGGACTGATGACTTTTGGCTGGGCTTTATCGTCTTACTATGGGCTTTATTATTGAGGATAGGCCTAGCTAATTGGGGGTTCTAAGCCAACCTCCAACAATAGGCCCCCCAGTTCGGTGTATGAGAGGTTGTTGAATGCGCCGAACTCGTGGTGTCGATTAGCTTGGCCCATCGCAGGTCGGGAGAAGGAGTCGCCGGTACAGCTTCTTCTGAGCCAGGTGGTGGGGACGCACGAGTGTCTCATGAGGTTGAAAGATGTATATGGATTGACACCTCCTCCGGAAGTCTTAGAGAAGCTGAAGAGCGACGAAGCCGACTTTAGAGCCCAACTCGAGAGGATTGATTATCCCGATCTTACTCCGGACGATCTCTGCCTCCCAAATGATGCCCCTCTGGTGATTCGTGCTGACGCTGCTCTGCCCGTGTACGTGGTACAGAGGACCGGGGCCGGCCAGACGTCAGTTGCTCCCGAGGCGGCGCCGAGTTCGTCTGCGGTGCCTGGCCAACGCGTGGTGCCTTCCGTGCCAGACTCCTCGGACCCTGATTCGTCCTCAGGAGGTCGAGGTGGAGCGGCGGAAACGACCCGGCCTTTTCGCGGTCAATTCGGGACGAATGCGCGGATGCTGAGCCCGGAGGATGCTAGGGACTTGCGTGCTGATGAAGCTTGAGCTCTTTCTCCCCCCCCCCTCTTTTTTTTTTGGGTTGTAGGCCGAAGTGCCAAGATTCTGATGTAGGCCTTGTGCCGTTTATACATATTTAGAAATTTAATGGAAAATTTCACTTCTGTACAATGCGAGATTGAGTTCGGCTTATATGTCAGAAATTGTATTATGAAAGCGAGTAGCTAGCTCGGCTGAAAACACTTATAGGTTGTGTGTTGCGCGATGCAGATTGGAATCTGGCTAAAGACACTTAATAGTTTGTGTGTCTATAGATGCGAGTCGGAACTCGGCTGAAACACTTATTGGTTTGTGTGTTTAGGGATGCGAGTAAAGACTCGGCTATATTTGAGCTCTGAAGCAGAATTTAGAGAAATATTATTTTTTATTAATTATAGCTGTGCCCGGGTTGGGCTGCCTACGTACCCTTCCGAAGAAGGGATCAAGCCAGTCGTAGTTCGGTTATTTTTACATTGGTAGGTTTGGATTTTCGAGGTCGGGAGCTGAGTGCCGAGATGTGCCTAGTAGTAGAATCGCTTGAGATTGGCTGCGTTCCATGAGTGCGGGATTGCGTCGCCTGCCATAGTAACGAGCTCGTACACACCGGGTTTGACGATTTTTGCGATGAGGTAGGGGCCTTCCCATCTGGCTCCGAGCTTGCCCGCGTTTATCTCCGCTGTGTTTTCGAAAACTTTTCGCAAAACCAGGTCACCTTCTGTGAAGAATCGGCCTTTGACCTTTTTGTTATAATACTTGGAGGCGAGCTGCTGGTAATTCTGCATGCGAAGCAAAGATTGGTCGCGATCCTCCTCGGCGAAATCGAGCTCGCTGCGGATCATGTTGCTGTTGAGGTCGGGGTCTTGTGTGAGCATCGAGCGGCGGATTGTGGGGAGTCCGACCTCTGAGGAAGCCATTGCTTCCATGCCGTGCGACAGACTGAAGGGAGTTCGTCCTGTTGCGCGCCGAGGTGTAGTTCGATGAGACCATAGGACTCCATCGAGCTCGTCTGCCCATAGACCATTTTTTTCGTCTAGTCGTTTTTTGAGGCCGTCCAAGATTGTTTTGTTTGTTGCCTCGGCCTGCCCGTTTCCTTGCGGGTACCTTGGGGTAGACTTGCTCAGTCTGATCTTCCATTTTGCACAGAAGTCTTCGAAAATGATCGACGTGAACTGGGCGCCGTTATCCGTAACGATCTCGTAGGGCAGACTGTGGCGACAGATGATAAATTTCCATACGAACTTGCGGACGTCCTCGGCGGTGATCCGAACGTAGGATTCAGCTTCGACCCATTTGGTGAAGTAGTCTGTCATGACAAGGAGGAAACGCTTTTGGCGGGATCTTGGCAGCGGTCCCACGATGTTCATGGCCCAACGCATGAATGGGTAGGGCGGTGATGCCGTGGTGAGTAGCTCGGTGGACGAATGAATCATGGGGCCGTGGCGTTGGCATTTCTCGCACCGGGCTGTGAACTTGTTGCAGGCCTCGACCATTGTTGGCCAGTAATGTCCTTGGTTACGGATCCGAGGTGCAAGAGTTCGGCCGGTACAGTGGCTTCCTCCAGCGCCTTCGTGCATTTCCTTGGTGACGTCGATTGTTTCGTCTCCGTGGAGACAGCTGAGCAGGGCGCCAGTTTTGCTCTACCGAAATATGTTTCCGTCGGTCTGGAAATACTTGGCGGCTTTCTTCTTTAATCGCCGAGCCGTCCAGCGGTCGTCAGGGACCGTCCCGCTGATGATATACGACAGGATGTTAGCTCGCCAATCTGGTTTAACGGGCTCGGGCGGGGGAGGTGGCAGGTTCTCACCGTCCTGGGCATCCTTCTCTTCGATTGGGTCATCGGCGAGGAAATCGTTGATGAGGCAGATCCCCTTTGGGAGCTCTATGCTGGGGGAATCGATGCTCTCGACGGGGATTACTCGGCGCTGAGTCGTGTCCGAGGTGGTGGCCAGAGCGGCTAGGGCGTCTGCAGAAGTATTATCCCCTCGGGGAATCTTGTTGAGATGAAATTAGAACTCGGAGGCCAGGTCCTGGACAACCTTGAGATAGGCTTCCATGCGGTCGTTCTTGGCTTCATACTCGCCACTGAAAATTGGTTTGCGACGAGCTGGGAGTCGCAGTATGTTTGGATCTTTCTGACCCCGATCTCCTTTGCCAGTCGCAGGCCGGCTATCAGGGCCTCGTACTCTGCCTCGTTATTCGATGCCTGGAATGCTAACCGGAATGACTCTTCTAGCACCTCGTGGGTCGGTGATTCCAAGCGGATGCCGACGCCAGAGCCATGCTTTGAGGCCGAACCGTCGACATGAAGGCTCCATTTCTCATCGGGTGCTTCGCCGGTTAGCTCGGGAGCGAGTTCGACGAGGAAGTCTGCCAATACTTGGGACTTCGCAGCGGTCCGCCCTCGATAGTCGATGTCGTATTCGCTGAGTTCTACCGCCCACTTCGCCATCTTTCCCGACTGACTCGGGCTGTGAAGGATTGTCCGCAGAGGATGTGTAGTTAGGACGGCGACAGTGTGAGATTGGAAGTAGGAGCGGAGCTTCCGAGCTGCTGTTACGACGGCTAGCGCCAGTTTTTCTATAGTCGGGTACCTGCTCTCGGCTCCATCCTGGAATTTAGAGACGTAAAAAACCGGCTTTTGCTCTCCTCGGTCTTCTCGAACAAGGACACCGCTTACAGCCGAGGTGGACACGGCGATGTATAGATACAAGGTTTCTCCATCTTCGGGCTTGGCTAGGACAGGCGGAGTCGAGATATATTCCTTGAGTTGCTGAAACGCCAGCTCGCACTTGTCGTCCCATTCGAACTTTTTGTTTCCTCGGAGCAGTTGATAAAAGGGCACACATTTATCAGTGGAACGCGAGATAAATCGGTTGAGGGCGGCAATTCTTCCGGTCAGGTGCTGGACTTCGCGAGTGTTCTTTGGTGACTGCAATTCGAGGACGGCCTGGATTTGCTTCGGGTTAGCCTCTATCTCGTGCTGAGTGACTACATAGCCGAGAAATTCTCCCGAGGTGACGCCGAAGGTGCACTTGGCGGGGTTGAGCTTCATGCCGTACTCGTTCAGAGTTTTGAAGCACCTTTTTAGGTGACCTACGTGATCGCCTGCCACCATAGATTTGACGAGCATGTCGTCTATGTACACCTCCATTGTGCATCCGAGCTGGTCGGCGAACATCTTGTTTACAAGGCACTGATAGGTGGCTCCGGCGTTTTTGAGCCCAAACGGCATGACCTTGTAGCAGTAGGTTCCGCGGTCTGTGATGAATGTTGTCTTCTCCCTATCGTCAGGGTGCATGAAGATTTGATTGTAGCCCGAGAAGGCGTCCATGAAAGAGAGTAGCTCGTTCCCCGCTGTCGCCTCGACGACCTGGTCGATTCTTGGAAGGGGGAAGCAGTCCTTCGGGCAGGCCTTGTTGAGGTCGGTGAAGTCCACACAGACTCTCCATTTGCTGTTTTTCTTTTTGACCACGACCGGGTTTGCGAGCCAATCCGGATACTTCAGCTCGGTGATTTGCCCGGCTGCCGTTTGCCTATCCACCTCGTCATTCATTGCTTGAGCGCGCTCGGCGCCTAACTTTCGCCTCTTCTGCTTGATAGGCCGGAAGGTCGGGTCGACATTAAGTTCATGGCTGCATATGGCCGGGTTGATGCTGGGCATGTCGCTGGTTGACCAAGCGAAGCTCGAGACATTCTGCTTGAGGAACCCGATGAGCTCGGTCTTGATGCTTTCTTTCAGGTCGGCCCCGATACCAACGCAGCGGTCGTTGTGATCGGGATCGATGTTTACTTGGACGATGAGATCTCGGAGAGGACGATCTGCTTGGCTTGGTTCCCCCGGGAGCTCGGGTCCGACGACGTTGCAGGCAGGAACTCCGTTGCGGCTTATCGTGGCGCAGAGTTGAGTACGGGCGGCGTTGCGGAGCTTGTGCTCGATAATAAAGCACGAGCGCGAGATCCTCTGGTCGCTCCGGACTGTGAATGTACCGGCCTGGTTTGGGAACTTGAGGCACTGGTGGTAGGTCGAGGTGACTGCCTTCATCGAATGCAACCAAGGAGTTCCGAGGATGATATTGTATATGGCTGGCCGGTCGACGACGGTGAATTTGACTATTTTTGTTACCCGACCTACGTAGACCGACAGCTTGATCGTCCCTATCGATGTGATTGTATCTCCTGCGAAGCCGGTCAAGGGAGTGTGGGTTGGCTTCATCTCGACGCCGTGTAAGTCCATCTTCTCGAGGGCTTCCTTGAAGATGAGATCTACCGAGCTGCCCGTGTCGACAAGTACCCGAGTTACGTTGCAGTCTGCCACGCGAATTTGGATGACGAGGGGGTCGTTGTGAGGTTGGTCGACGCCCTCAGCGTCCTCCTCGGAGAACGTTATTCCCCTACCACTTGTGTCCTGAGCGTTGGTTGCTCTGATCTTTGCCACCCACATCTCTGTAGGGGCAGACTTCCACTCGTGGACTTTGATCGAGCGAACCGAATCGTTGCAGGACAGGAGACCGCCCATGATCATTCCGATCATTGTCCGAGCCAGCGGTGGGGACGCCTGTCTCCGAGGTGCGACCTGCTGTTGCTGTTGTTGTAGTTGTTGTTGTTGTTGTTGTTGTTGTTGTAGTTGTTGGACGGGCTGGACTCTGTCGTTCTCGCGAGAGGGAGAGCGCTGGCGGTGATTATCTTGCTGAGCTCGGTTGTCTTGACGACGCCGGTTATCATTTCGACCTCGGCCGCGTGGTTGCTGCTGGTCGGGGACTCTAATTCCCCCCTTCTGGTACTGAGCGAGGAGGGCTTCCTGAAGTTTGCGGCACTGCTCGATTGTGTGCCCCTTCAGCTGGTGGTACTCGCAGAACGCCTGGTAGTCTCTCGTGGCGGGAGCGGCGGCTCGTTCTTGGAAGACCTGGGCCGGGGACGGTGCCTGGGTTGGGGGCGGCGCCTCGACGGTGCGATACCATTTGTTTGATGGATGAGGCTGATGATAGTACTGCTGCGATGAGGTGGGCACGACCATCCCAGGTCGGTTATCTACGTGGAAGACGGCTGGAGCTTCTTCGACGGGACATGAGGTCGGCGCGTCGCTGATGAGAAAAGTTGCGGCCTGCCTGCGTTGGTATTCCTCGTCGTAGTGCTGGCGGGGTTCGTGGTATTCGTCCTGAGCTTTTTCCTTTTGAGGTGGATTTTTTTGGGAAGCGAGCTTCCTAAGACTTGCCATCTCCTCCTCGATTTCAATATGTAGCCCGGCGCGGTGTAATGCGTCTTCCAGAATGTGCGGCGCATTGAGCTTTAGTTCGTCCTTGAAGGCCGAGTCGAAGTGGAGGGTTTTCCTCAGGGCCGGGATGGCGGAATCGTCCGATACTGAGGCGCGGGAGGTCGTCGCTTTGAATCGCTCAATGAACGACCGGAGAGATTCTTTCGGTCCCTGGCTCAAGGCCCAGAGATCGGCGGTTGAAGCAGAGCGCTGGATAAATATAGAGTAATGTTTGAGGAAGGCGGTCGAGAGCGCCTTGATGCTATCGATCGAGTGCGTTTCCAGCCTGGAGAACCAAGTCAGGGCGGGGCCGACCAGGTTTTCCACGAAGAGTTGGCAGTGTCCGGCCTCGCGCTCCTCGGGCGTGAAGTGAGCTCGTCCCATGGCAATGGTGAATGCCGTTAGATACTGTGTGGGATCGGTATCTCCGGCGTATGGTGGGAGCTTCACTTTGCTGACGTGGCAAAAAGGAGTGGAGGCGATTCGGTGCGTGAACGGTGTGTTTTGCGTCTCCTGCAAGACACGATCTATTTCGGGGGCCGAACTCGTGGCTCGATGGACCTTGGAGTTCATCTCGCAAATTTTCGCCTTGATGGCCTCGATCTCCGCGTCGCGGTCTCGTTCTGCGGCCATCTGTCGGAACGCCTCCGGGCTAGAATGCTGAGGGAGTATTTCGGCCGAGCGACTTGCCAACTGGGCGGACCTCTGACTTGGTCCGGCTGACTCGGTTGGGGAGTCACCGAAGAGGTTTCTTTGCAAGAGTAGTACTTCTGAGCGATGAGTTTCCTCGAGATCACGCTCAACCGAGGATCTAGGATTCTACGGTTGGTTTGCGTGGGCTCCGCGCCCTGCCGTGAGCTCGGCAAACCTTCGGTCAGTTTGGCGGGTCATCTCGTCCATTCGGTCGAGCAAGGAGTGAAGCAGAGGAGCCAGGGCGTGGTCTCCGCTTGCCGGAGTGGTCCGTTCGGCTGGAGCCTGCAGGGTGACACGTCTCGGACTTGTTGGTAACGCCATTGGTTCAGGGATTTGGTGGGGAGTGTTGCTTTCCAGTTCGGACTCCAGGGGGAGCGGCGGTGCTGGTAGCTGCGGTGCTGGCACTCCGGTCTCTGTTGGTATGGCGGCCTCCTTAGGGTGGACAACCGACGAGGGCGGCGTGAGCACTGCTATTGTCGTGGTTGTTGACTTGGCTGTCGCTAGTGATGATTTTGACATTCCTGAGGTTGAGGGCGGTGTTTCTGCCATTTCCAAATCTTTCTTGTGCGTGTAAAAAATCTCTAAACCCCCTCCTTCAAGCGCCAATTGTTGATCCTAGGGATCACTAAGTGTATTTAACAGAATATGAGAATGATTAGAGATGATTTCGGGGTGAGATTTTCGTATTATAAGAGTGATTTAGCTCGAGGAGGAAGAGAAAGTGTCAGCTCGGAGCCGTGAAAGGTATTTGTAAAGAGAGAATAATTAGCGTTTCGAACTAAGTCTGGAAAGAGTCCAGTTCGATGCTTTTAATAATGTTACAGCGAGCTCGGTAGAGAGACAAGTGTATTAAAGTAGAGAGAGAGAGTAATAAATTTCCGGTCCCCTCATAAATGATCTATGGGGAGTATTTATAGTGGGAGCCAGGAGACGAGTTTCCTCCACATCGGGACGACGTGGCAGCTTCGGCGCATCTCGCGGGTATGGCGTCTCGAGCAGCGCGTCCGAACCACTCCGCGGCGAGTGATGATAATCTTTCGCCGAGCTACTTGCGCAGATAGGTTACTGTAGATGACCTGCTACTACACGTGTCGTATCCTGCTTGGTTCCGGGTATTGTAAATTGGCGCAATGATGATGACGATTTAGGCGGAATCATGCTGACTGGATTGATGACTTTTGACTAGGCTTTATCGTCTTACTATGGGCTTTATTATTGAGGATGGACCTAGCTAATTGGGGGTGCTAAGCCCACCTCCAACACATTGGCCTAGGGACTGTAACGGGATTAATCTGTCTAGTCCCTACTCTTTTCTTCTACCTTGGCTGGTTCTCTAAGTTTACCTTGACCTACGTTTTTATACTCCTATTTAGTTTCCCTGAGAAGACCGTGTTTGTTGCCATGGTTTCAAAGTTTTTAGCTTCCTTCTAGAGTTTTGTTGTTTTCTGTTTCGTGTTGTATTAGAGTTTCTGAAACTTAGACAGCAAATCGATGTGTTAATCTTATATCTTTTGATAATTTAGTACTTTTGCTCAGATTCTTATTCTCTATTTTGTCCCCAAGAAAGAATTTTTTTTTTTTATTTTCAACATTTCTTATTCACCACAAACGGCTACCAGTTGGAAAATTTACAAAATATTTCTTGAAACTAGTTAGATCCTTATGATCCATCTGAACAATGGAAAACGACTTTTCCTTCCCATGGTTCTAAATTTGTCCATCTTATTATCAAATATCTATGCTAATGTTCTGCTCCATTAAGTTGAATGCCATTAGTTTCCTCGTGTCCTTTCCTCTTCCTCGGCCTTAATCCACGCAGCCTGTAAATGAGAAAAAAACACTCAAATGATAAATTTGTTTAAGGGATAAAAAAATAAATTGTTTGCAAATTAGCAAGAAACGAAAAACTAATTACCTTTTCTCTTTCAAGTTTTGACAGAGTCGGGCGAATAGCGTTCCCAAGGTCAATACCACCCCAAGCTTCTTGCAATTCTCTGTCCCTTGCTTGTCTTCTGGTTAACAATGGTGTTGCTGTCTCTATCTTGTCGCTTTCAGGTTTCCTTTTAAGCTTGTTAACTGTTTGGTACAAGCTTGAGTCACCAAGTCCTAAACCACCCCAAGCTTCTAGCATTTCTTTGTCCCTCGCTTGTCGTCTGGTTAGAACCGGTCTTTTCTCTTCTCCCAAATTCTCAGTAGCTTCTGATTTTTTGCTTTCAGGTCTCTTTTGGTTATTGTTCTTCAACTCCCCAAGGCCTATACCACCCCAAGTTTCTTCTATTTCTCTATCCTTCAATTGTCGTCTGGTCAGAGTCGGTTTTGCCAGCTTCATACTTTCCGGTTCCTGGTTGTGATTTTCCACAGCTTGGTTCAAGCTCACCTCCTCATCGTTGGTCCTTGAATTCTCCTTCTCTTCTACTTCAGCTTCGGTCACTATGCTATCTGCTTTAAACCTCAGCTTCTCCTTCTCTAGCTTTGGAACATGTTTCACCAGAATTTTATCCAAACTCTCATAATCAGACTCGCTTTTTGCTGCCTGATTTCTCTGTGGGATCCTCCGATTTCCATAAACTGCCTCTGACGCAATTGTTTCTCTTTCCAATCTGTGAACCGAGATCTTGTCTAGGCTTTCTTCTTGACCTTCAGCTTTCTTGTTCAAGTCAATATTTTCTTTTTCCTGTTCTTCTGTCAACAAACATGAACTTTTGTCAACTGTTTTAATTTTTCTAGCATCAAGATCTTCTTTGTTTTTCTCCTTTGCTTCTTGGACTTCTTTCTCTAGCTTGGAGACATGTTTTACCATACAACTAGCTAGGCTGGGAACCTCAGGCACACTAGCTGCTCCAGTATCTTGTTTTTCCGGTTTCTTCACTTTCTCATACATGTTTCCGCAGTTCCTTTTAGTTTCTTCAACATCCTTCTCCAATCTTGAAACATGCTTTCTCACTAGTAAACTTTCCAAGTCCGGGATTGGATCCAATGGCGTTTTGTTTCTGCTTGAGTTCTTCTGGTACGTCAAAGGATTCACTCCTGCGTTCTTCTTGGCTTCTTCAATCTCTTTCTCAAGCCTAGAAGAATGTTTCACAAGGATGCTTCCCAGATCTGAAACAGTATCACTGGCAACACCTTGAGGAACCTTTCTGGCTTTGTCAGATACGTCCTTTGAAGCCCTTTTGGCTTCAGAGACTTCTCTTTCAAGTTTGGTCATGTGCTTGACTAGATACTTGTCCAAACTCGGAATCTCTGTCTCTTTACCATCCGTTGTTGTTTTTCCTTCCATTAATGACCCAAACTTAGAATCTCTTCTCGATCTTGTATACATTGAAGAAGAATTCCCATGATCTGACACAGTTGGATCGATATTTGTGGTCTGCAGCCTCTGGTGTCCAGCTTCAGCCAAGGCCTCACTTAAACCACAAGTGGCAACTATTGAGGCAAGACTTGAAAGTTGATCTTCTTGTAAGCCCTGAAGCCTTTCAAGCATCATATCTACTAGTTTCTCCCTGCTAAACTTCCCAAACGACTGCCGCCTCTTGTCTTTTCGCTGTCTTGTTTTGAAAGATGACTCCTCACATTCAGCCACTTCTTCATCAACCTTGTGTAGAATGCTGAGTTCAGAGTCAGACTCTGTTTCCCATTCTGAAGACATCTCAGTGATTTCATGAGTATCACGCACATCAGGATTCTCACTGATTTTCCTGAGAAGATCTTTAATCTCTGCTTTACTGAGAGCGGGACAATTTGCAAGCTTAGCAAATGCAGTTTTAACAGCAGCTGCTACTTCTTTATCAACATCAAACGCAGTTTCAAAAGACGCTGAAACGGTATGAGTAGGAGAACCCCCTCCATGTGTTCCTGATGTTTTAATTCGATATTGCTTCCTTGAGCTATTTGGTTTATCATGCATTATCACTCCCAAAGCAGACGCCGCTTCAAAAGCTTCCACTGCAGCTTTTTCTGCATTCTCCAACAAAGTTTCTGCATCTAAACTCGGGATCCTATCAACCGTGAAGAGAAAAAACTATAGTTAAGAAGCTAGAGAGGTACCATAAAAATAATCTTCCTGGATGCTAAAACCTTTGAATTACCTTGCAGCTCGAAGTATCCTACACCAGGATGCTTCAACCAGAGCAGCCTTGCGGAGCTCCATGGCCTTACCTGCAGCCTCTCTCACAGCCATTTGTTCTCTTACGATTTTGCAGTAGTGTGGATTTGAGTCGCCTAGCGTCTCATCAAGAGTCTGATTCATTCCACCAACCTCCTATACACAACACCGTAACACAACTTCAATATTCCAGAACTGACAAAAGTATTGTTACCAATCATTGAGACTAATATAATATAACTAAAATGAAATCTTTACCTGTAGCTTCTTTATCTTCCTATTCAAATATGAATCCCCCTTTCTGCGAGGGAACCAGCCAAGAGGCGAGGTTTTACGCTGAGAGGACCTCTTTGACTGTGATTTTCTAAGAGCCGATGTCTCTCTTGGTGATTGTGATTTTCTGAGAGCCGATGTCTCTCTTGGTGATTTATTCTGCATTTGTCCAGAGATTTGGTATATTAAAATCAAAAACGAATATCATAGAGCTAAATTTCATGGAAATTGATACTTAAGAACCAAAAACAGACTTAAAAGTCGAACAGAGACACTTTAATTAGTGAAGATATCAAGTTCAAGCAAGTTTGGATGTTTAGGCAAATCGCTAACGTCTTGGTATATAAATCATAAATGAACTGATTTATCAAGCGACGAACATCCCAGAAACCTAAATCCCGTAAGCTACATTCGATTCCACTACGAAAGCCTAAATTACCAAACCCTAATTAACGGGAAGAAACTTCAATCCAGTGAAACTCGAAACATCAGACGGCAAAACCAAAAATGAAAATAACCGGAACGAAGTCAGATCTCAAATCGAATCAGAATCCTACCTGCCCAGATTTCGAATCGGAGGAAGAGACTTTAAAAGGATCGGAAACTCCAACGCCGTTTTTCTTTTCAGAGACTGAAAGACATCCCAAATCCAAGCAACCGAGGTCCATGGCGGATTTGATCATATTCTCAATATGGTTGTATCAAATTTTAGCGAAGAAAAAGATTCAGAGAAGCGAAATACAGTATTTAGAGAAAATCGATTCGATTCGAGTTGAGAGAGGGAGAGAAGAAGGAGTTTCTTGGTGACGTTCTCTCTTTTATTTTTTCGAGTTTTGGGGAAAATATACGAATAGGGAAGTAGCCGTTACAAAGGGTCCGGGATATGATTTTTTTTTTTTTATTGACTATTCTCACTTTTTTCTCTCAACGGTTCGTTTTGAGGCGTTCGATGGAACTATCTCATGTGTGCGGGTGCACAGTAGTAACACTAGTCTGAATCGCTTTGGTCTGACGTGGCCACAAGAGAATATTCCTCTGCTCTGTGGATTCTCTTTTTGTTCGTAAATTTTGTTTCTTCAACTTCAAAGATTGTTTTCGTAGTCTTTTTTTATAGGTTAGGTTAGAACTTTGTTTTTTTTTTGTCGACAACAGAGAACTTTGTGTAACTTTGTCTTATCCATTTGCAAGTAGAAGTATTCCCTCCGTTTCACAAAGAGTGGCGTTTTAATGTTTTATTTTTGTTTCACAAAGAGTATCGTTTTATATTTTTAATGCAGAATTTTAAATAATATTCCAGTTTTGATTTCATTTATTTAATGTATTAATTAGAGAAAAAAAGTTATCTAATGCATTAATGAAGGACAAAATAGTATTTTTAATAGTTTTCTTAATAAGTGTGAAAAATGTCAGAATTACACTCTTTATAAAAATGTCAGAACAACATGATATTTTTTTATATAAAAAAAAGCATAATTATACAAGTTTTATTTTTTGGTTTAACAGAATTATACAAGTTGAGAAATACAATATTATACAAATGGATCATGATGAGTCACTGCAGCTTTACTTAATTGTTCGCAATCACCACCATCGCAGTTTTCTGAGCCACAACGGTTGACTCATGGCACGACGAATCTAACTGTTTAGGTAAACGACGTCGGTTCATCAAGTCAAGGATGTGCTCTTCCATAGCGACTGCTTTAAGCCAAGCGGGTCTCGACTTCATCTTCTCGACCCATGCAGCTACATTGGGACGTGAATAGATCAAGTTTTTCAATTCTTCTTCTTCCGTGTTTAACAAGTACTGAATCGGTGGAAGATGATGAAGATCTGCTAAAGTGAAACTTTCTCCGGCTAAGTATGGAGACTCGCCTAAACGAGTCTCGTAGATGTTTAGAATCTCTGATAACTTCTCTTTGCCTTCTTGAACCGATGTGAAGTCTGTGGCTAAACCTTGATATGGTTTTATGATGAGTTCTTTGATGAGAGTCGATGCCACAGGAAGAAACTGATTCGTGTCTACTTCCATCCACATTGATATGATAGATCTCTTTTTGGGATCATCTGGTAATAGGTTTGTTCCTTGGTCTTTGTATTGTTCCGCTAGGTATCGTGTGATCGCCTTTGATTCTATATGCATAGTTAAAAAAAAACATGGATTAAATGTTAAGTTTCATTCCAAAACATATTTGACTCTGTACTTTGCTATATTATAAGCATCCATTATAGTTGACCCTGATTTATATCACAGTGAAGTGACTCGAAACATATTCTTAAAATGAGTCATTTGGTTAGTCTTCATGATAAGAATTTGATTAGAATTTGGTATTATTTCTTATCCTCAAAACAAATTAGTTTAATTCGTAGTGATCATTGGTCACCAATCAAATCCAAAATATAAATGAAGTTGTAGATCTTGTAGAATATAAAGACAAGTACCAAAAAGTTTGAGATCTCCATCTTCAAGAACCGGAACTTGACCAAATGGCTGAAAATAAAGAGACAAGTCATACAAAGTACAAACAAAACTACAGATATTAATGAAGTAAGAGTTTAAAGAGTTGTACGTTAAGATTAGAGAGAAAAGATTTGGTTTTGGCAATGTTTTTAAAACCCGCTGACCGAACCAGGAAAGCTTTTGGGTCATGGGTTAGTATGGTTAGACCAAGTTCAACCGGGTTTGATAAAATTTTTCAAATAATTATATATGGATTTAAAAAAAAAAACCAAAAGAAGTATAGAAGAGTTATGATTTAGAAACCTTTTTTTTGTCAAATATTTAGAAACCTTATCTTTTATTTTTAAAGTAAAAATAAATAAACAAAAATCAAATTGACTTGTTACCTCTTAAAAAACGTAAAAAAAAATATGATTTAAGTCTTTTTTAGTTGAACTCGGTTTAATACGGTTTATCGATTTATCTAATTTCCGGTTTTTGACGGTTCAATCCGGTTTTTAACTCAACCCGGCTACACTTCCGGTTCGTGGTCCAACCTGGTCTGACCACCGGTCCGGTCTGGGTTTAAAAACACTGGAATAGACTAAAAAACCAGTATGGAACATCCGAAGATGAAGCTCCATTGTGGCTTTATCTTTGCAGGTTGGTCAGCTATCTTTGGTCTCTATGAAAAAGAACTTGACTTCGAGCTTGTCTTCATAGATTGGCTTGCTGGTGAATCCAAAACCAGTGTTTTTAAACTCGGACCAGACCGGCGGTCAGACCAGGTTGGACCACGAACCGGAAGTGTAGCCAGGTTGAGTTGAAAACCGGATTGAACCGTCGAAAACCGGAAATTAGATAAATCGATAAACCGTATTAAATCAGTATTTTTAAACTCGGACCGGACTGGCAGTCAGACCAGGTTGGACCACGAATCGGAAGTGTAGCCGGGTTGAGTTAAAAACCGGATTAAACCATCAAAACCGGAAACTAGATAAATCGATAAACCGTATTAAACCGAGTTCAACTAAAAAAACTTAAATCATTTTTTTTTATGTTTTTTAAGAGGTAACAAGTCAATTTGATTTTTGTTTATTTATTTTTACTTTAAAAATAAAAGATAAGGTTTCTAAATATTTGAAAAAAAGGTTTCTAAATCATAACTCTTCTATACTTCTTTCGGTTTTTTTTTTAAATCCATATATAATTATTTGAAAAATTTTATCAAACCCGGTTGAACCTGGTCTAACCATACTAACCCATGACCCAAAAACTTTTCCGGTTCGGTCAGCGGTCCGGTTTTAAAAACATTGGTCTATTCACTTGATTGATGATTGAGTAAGATCGATTATCGAACTCGATCGTTTTTTATAGGTACGAGATCAATTTCCATCCATTGACTTTGAAAAAAATAAATCAATAATAGATAACCTTTCAGAGTTCTAAGAGTTCATGATTTTACAATTATCGATGTAATAGTTTTTTATAGAATAATATATTCTAGGTTAGTGTAAAAGAGAGGTAAAAAAAACTATTGGATCCCTAAATTTGATTTTTTGGACTTTTATGCTTAATAAATGTTTTAAATTAAATCATTTTTTGTGAACGTTTTTTGTAAATTTATTTATGAAAACAAAAAATACAATAAACTTGCTTGGATAATTTTGTTTTTTTTCATTTTATTTTGTATCAATGTAATTTTTATTATAGATTTTTAATTATTAGAAGACATGATTGGATCCTCAATCTTCGCCTCCCGTTCCTTCTAAGCTAGTCTTGATTGTGGTTTATCATCTTTATACTGTTAACTGTTAAGTGAAAAAAGGAAAGTAATTATTTTTGCTGATTTCTTTGTTTATCTACTTGACTAATTGCTCAGCCCGATTTTTATGAATCGAATTTCAGTGGAAAAAACACAAAAGTAAATTTTTAACCACTTGACTAAAAAACACTTCCTCAACGGCTCAGCCTATCAAATTTATTAGAGTTCATAAATAAATAATCTAATTGAGTATTAAATACGACTCATTAATTTAAATCTAAGTCAAACTTTATAGTAAATACTTGCAACTGGTACATCTATACTATTAACATGAGTGAACTAACTAATAATTATGCAATATTTATATTAGCATGTGTAATTATATTATGCAAATTAAAACAAGTGTAATTATTATACTCCTATAAGGTTAACATAACTTCTTTCATGTTTTACAGAGGGCTCTAGCCAAAAGATAAGGAAGGTTATGCTTGTGTCCGTCAATGTCTTTATTAATTTTGTAAGCCGATTTTATAATTAAAAAAAAAACATATCTAATAGCTTAATTATGGGTTCGAATCCCCCCTCCCCTTCATACATGGTTGAACTTTCTTTCGACACAAAAATCAGGCCAACGTTAAATAAATAGTTAAAAGATGATATATTCTTCTTATTAGTATTTTTGAAAAAAGATTCCTAAAAATAATTCTCTTAAAATTTCTCTTTTTTACTAGATTAAGCTCTTGCTTAATTCTCCTTCACTATGTTTTTATTTCCAAAACTGAACGTATGCCTGTATTGTCATAGCTTGTATTGTTTTTTTGGCATTTTAATACTCTTTATTCAAAAAAAAAAAGAAACCAAAAATTTCCTCTTGTTAAATTTAGACATTACGCCAAAATCATTCAACTTTATTTTTTAACCAAAAGCATCATTCAATAATTTTATGTTTTGGAATAATTCAGAATAATAGTCTGAATTGCTTTGGTCTGATCGTGGCCACAATACATTATTGATTATAATAATGTATTCCTCTGCTTTATGATAGGATTAGAACAAAGCCAGATATCCAGATTTTTTAAGGTATCTGGATCCGCATCTGTATCTGTCGGAAAATCAATTCTACTATTCGAATTCGGATCCAAAAACTCTGGATATCCAGTTTGAACCGAATATTTATGGATATCCGGTCGAGTATTCGGTTTTGTTGATCTTTAAAAATAAATCTTCAAATTTTAAAAAATCATATATATATAAAAAAGGATTTCACTCTCTCCCTATTGGGCCACTTGGCACCTTCTTAAAATTTTTTTTTTATTTTGTAAAATAATTTTCATCTTTTTTAATTTAACACAAATTGATATACAGCTACAAATTATTATTCTTATGTCGTTACGTCTAATTGATTCAACTAAATGAATTAGTATCCAGCTACAAATAATTAAAATTTGTATTTATTTTTGAATGAGAAATGAAATGTATAGTACTAATTAAATATACAAATAATTTAAATCTGTTACATATAAGAATAATTAGAAATAATGACCCCTCCACCTCAAATGTCGTCCACATTAGCTCACAAATTTATTCCTCATTAAACAGAGAACTTAAATACACCAATATTCAACTTTGTGAAAAAACAATAGCATTTAAAATATATTTTACTTGGCACTCACATTTAAAAGTAAATAAAAAATATATTTTATTAACTACATAATTAAACCATATTAATTATAATCATTCAAACAAAATATGTAACATCTATGAAATCTTTCTCTTAAACAACAAAATATGAAATATATCAAATTATCAACAATACAGCAAATCCATAAATTAAAAACAGATTCAATTCAATCAAACAACTATTACCTTCACTAATATATAATCACAAATATATATAAACTATATTTGTATATTGAATATGATTTTTTATAGTTACTAAATTTAATAAAAAAAATCATCCCATGATGTATAAGTCAATTCAACAATATTTAAAGAAATCAACATAATTCTCTTTTAAACGGTTTTTAGAAAGCAAAATGCCACAATTGAAAGTCATTTAACTACATTTAGGTAAACAAATGTTTATTCTTATTGATGATGGGTATTTACTCCTATTGATGAGTATGTAACAATTTTGTTATGATGACTAAGAAATGTAAATCCCAAATTAAATTATTTTTAGGTTACAAATGTCAACAATTATTCGTATAATTATAATTTTCTACTCAGGGCAAGTCATCCATCATGTTTTGGAATAGAGTGAATCCAAACCTTAAACGGAGTATAAAAAACGCTATCGGCATCACTACGGAAGGAGTAATGAGTATGTATCTGGGACTCCCAGAACAAATATGCGGATCAAAGAAGAAAGTTTTCTCCTTCGTCCATGACCGACTCAGTAATCGGGTCAATAATTGGTCCGCTAGACTTTTATCTAAGGGTGGGAAGGAAATTCAGATAAAATCGGTAGCTCAAGCTATCCCTACTTACGTCATGTCGTGCTTCCTTCTCCCTAAAGGGATGACAGACAAACTTCGAAGTGCCATAGCTAATTTTTGGTGGAGCTCGAACAAAATAGTAGTGGAATCCATTGGATTGTTTGGATTAAGATTTGTATTCCCCAGGATATGGGAGGGCTGGGATTTAGGGATCTAAATGATTTTAATCTAGCATTGCTTGCTAAGCAGCTATGAAGACTCATCCAGTACTCTTGTTCTCTTCTGGCCCAGAGTGCTAAGAGGACGATATTACCGACAATCAGATCCATTAGAGGACTGAAAAGTCTACTCACCATCTTACGGATGGAAGAGTATGTTGGTGGGCAGACCGTATCTCCAAATGGGACTCAGGAAGACAATCGGGTCGGGACTTAACACCAGAGCCTGGAGTGAGCCGTGGATCCCCGATGACAGGGCTCGAGCTCCAAGAGCTGCCCCCCAGATCGACTTTCAGGAACCAGGAATGTTAGTTTACCATCTTATCCGTCAAGATACGAAGCAATGAGATGAGTCTCTCCTACGATTTCTTTTCCAACCTGAAGATGTCTCTCTTATCCTTGAGCTGAGACCTAGCTGAAACCGTATCCTAGATAGATATGCGTGGAACCATACTAAATCGGAGATATACTCGGTTAAATCAGGTTATGTGTTGATTAGAAGAATGAAGTTGGCTCAAAATTTGAAAGTCGTCACAGAACCGAGTATCACAGCCCTTCTAAGCTACGTTTGGAAGATTCGGGCGCCTGAAAAGATGAAGCATCTGATGTGGCAAGCTTTATCAGGATGTATTGCTACTTGCTAAAACTTGACCCACAAGCATATGGGATCGGATAAGCAGTGTCCCGCTGTGGGAATCCTGAAGAATATATTAACCACCTCCTGTTTTTATGTTCCCCGGCCTTACACTTCTGGGCGTTTTTGGACTTTCTGTCCCTTTCGGGTCTCTTTCCGAGCACTTCTATTTACCAAAATATGAGCTTCTTTTGGAATAAAAAAGAGATATGTATGACAGATCCACAAAAGGATTTTTATCCTTGGATCCTGTGGTATATTTGGAAAGCGAGGAATGACAAGATCTTCAGCGGGAAATAAACTTCTCCCGTAGATACCTTGATCCACGCCAAGATTGAAGCTGAAAGCTGGAAGACTGCGAACGAGCCGAAAGAAGATGAAGACGCTACAAATACGCCTACCCCCACTTCTTCGCTCCTAACCTCTCTTCCATATGGCCAGAGGCTTCCGATTTTTCAAGTGGATGCATCCTGGATAGGTAGCAGTCTGATTAGTGGGCTTGGATGGAGTCTAAAGGAGGAAAGGAGTGGTGAGGTTTTTGGCCTTCAGGGCTGTCGTTGAAGCCTCTCGGCTCTCTATGCCGAGTTGGATAGCCTCCTATGGGCTATGTCGTGTCTGATAAATAGAGGAGTCTTATCTGTATACTTTCAGTCTGATTGCTTGGATTTGGTAAGTATGACAGAATCGACATCGGATTGGCCATCCTTCTTATCAGAGTTGGAAGTCTTCCAAAACCTCCGAGAAAGCTTCGGGACCTTTATTCTTTCTCACATCCCCAAAAGTTTGAATATCCGAGCGGATAGCCTAGCAAAAGGAGCTCGAACGAAAGACATTATCTTTTCCCTAATCATTCATAATGAGGCAGTGGCGGGGGAATTTTCGAATCAACCTTTAAACGGGCCAATAATGATGTAATAATTGGATAATTGAAAAAAAAATTATAATTTTCTATTCATCCTATAAATAATCATTCTCTCATCTTTCTCAACTATATCTCAAATCTTTAAATATATTTAGCAGGTTATGTTCTTGCATGGTTTGAAAATCAATTTAAACGTATTGGTGGTAAGAGTTTGATTCTAAATTTTCTATTAGAACATATTGTTTCAATTTTAAATTTGTTTCTAACGTGTTACATATTTTACTTCCATATGTCTAATAAGATTTCAATGGCCACAATTTTTTTTTTTGCAGATTTCTCTATGAAGTTTCATAAGCCACTGATTCCAACATTCTCACAAGAAGGAAAAACTTTAATGGTTCTGAATAAGACACAAACTTCAAAGTTTGCATTCTAAAAGCATTTTGAGTAAGTGAAAAAAAAAACATTCTGAATACCCATCTCAAACATGTTTCTAATTTTTTCGGTAAAAAATCATTAGTTTGGTATTACTTTATTTTGTTGCTATATTATTATATATTGTTATAAGTTTATATTTAACAAATCAATATAAAGTGTTAATTGTAAAATTTATTGGTTTTAATTAACTCGAATATAATTTTAAATATATGATACAATTGTAGTCTATCTAATACATTTTTTGATATGTCAAAGATCATTCGTTCCTCACAATCACACCTTACAAACAATCATTGTATCATCATATCAATACAAAACTTTGCAATAAAATTATATGTGTATTTTTGTATTGTTAAGCCTAAATTGTATGGTTTAAGTCTCATATATTTAGTTTTGTAGCAAGATTTAATTTTCTATATGTTTAGCATAAATTTATTTTTATGAATAATATCATATGATATTTATTTTGTTATTTTTTTTTTTAATTTTAATATGTTTTAAGGCATTAAAAATATCTAATTTTTTAACTTATATTACTAAAAATCATATATATATATATATAAACAAAGAAATGTTTTCTCTATCTACCTATTAATCCTTATAAAATTTTATATTTCAAGATTTCAGTCTTCATATCATTTGCTTAAGTTAATTTTTGGATACTATTGTATAGTAATATGTTAAATTTATTATCCTAAATTTAATCATTTTATAGTCTATGTTCAATATTTAAAAAATATGTATAAAAAATTAACTGTAACATATATTTAAAAAATAAGTTTCATTTATTGGGTAGAATAAAAAAATTAGATAATCAAGAATTTTGAACTGTAGATTTTAATAAACTAAAGTAGATAAAAAAAGACTTCACAGTATATATATTGCTAAAGGAATATATTACATATACAATTTACATGCTATTTAATGTAAATAAAATTTATACATATAAAAAAATTACATGTAGGTGATTTTGTCACAATAATTAGTTATAATAAGAAAGCCAACAATAATACAAATCAATATTAAAGGTACAACCCAGGCAATGCAATGTTTAGTAGTACAAAAATTATAAAAAAGTTATAGCTACTACCATTACTGTTGCTGATGAAATTAAAGACAATATCACAATACATTTGAAAATGTTTACTTATAAAAATTTTAATTATCTAAAAAATCTTCAAAATTTCTGGATACAAATAGAAAAAAATATCAAAAACTGATAAAATTATAGAAAAAAATGTTAAGTAAACAAAATATATTTGTTATATTTTACTAAAAACTATCTTATTTATATATAAATAAATTTATGTAACTATTAATATATGTTTTTGTTGGAATCATATATTTACTTGGGAGTTTAAAAAAAAATTATTACCTTATTATTTATTGAATTTGATAAATTTTTATTATTATTTTATAGTGATTATTAATTTATTAAATATTAATTTATTATAGTTAACGATAGTTATGTATTCCTAAAGTCAAAAATATCCCATTTAAATATCAACAACTCCTGCGGCGTAGTGCGGGTAATGACCTAGTTACAATAAAATAACATAGACAATTAAAAAATGTATCATGGGTATTAATGATGATGGCGTTTGAATTAAATATGAGTCACCAAAAAATGTCATGAATATCGATTATGATGGACTTGAAACTCTAGTTCATACATATTATAATATTAAAAAGTTAATTTTAAAAAATAAATAAATATTATCAAAAATAAATAAATATTTAATAAATGGATATCGGTTATCCGCTTTTAAATTTTTCTATTATCCAAATCCGTATCCAATTTTACCGAATACTTAATTTCATTATCCAGATCCATATCCAAACTACATGGATATTTGTTTTTACAGATCGAATAGGAGCAGATAGCAAATCAGAGATCGGATACCAGATAATAATCCCAGACCTATTATGTGGAGTTTTTTTTTTTGTTAGAAGATTTCTATTTTTTTGAAAAAAAAGCTTTGCACACTAAGTTCGTAGATTTTATTTCTTCAACTTCAAAGATTCTAGTTTCTAAAACCAATTATTCTCAATATTCGTAGTCTTTTTATTGGTTAGAACTTTCTTTAACTTTGTCTTATTTCATTTGGAGCCATCTAAATTAAACCCTTAACAAGTAGAATCACAGAGTGAATTATTTTATAATACATAACGACATGATATGTTTTTGATAAAAGAAAAGCATAATTATACAAGTTGAGAATACAATATTATTAATGAAAATGCAGTTTAAAATTAAATAAAACAAGAATACAATATTATACAAATGGATCATGATGAGTCACTGCAGCTTTACTTAATTGTTCCCAATCACCACCATCGCAGTTTTCTGAGCCAAAACCGTTGACTCGTGACACGATGAATCTAACTGTTTAGGTAAACGACGTCGTTTCATCAAGTCAACGATGTGCTTTTGCATAACGACTGTTTCAAGCCAAGCGGGTCTCGACTTCATCTTCTCGACCCATGCGGCTACATTGGGACGTGAATAGATCAAGCTTTTCACTTCTTCTTCTTCCGTGTTCAACAAGTAATTAATTGGTGGAAGGTGATGAAGATCCGCTAAAGTGAAGCTTTCTCCGGCCAAGTATGGAGACTCGCCTAAACGAGTCTCGTAGATGTTTAGAATCTCTGATAACTTCTCTTTGCTTTCGTGAACCGATGTGAAGTCTGTGGCTAAACCTTGATATGGTTTTAGGATGAGTTCTTTGATGAGAGTCGATGCCACAGGAAGAAAATGATTCGTGTCTACTTCCATCCACATTGATACGATTGCTCTCTTTTTGGGATCATCTGGTAATAGGCTTGTCCCTTGGTCTTTGTATTGTTCCGCTAGGTATCGTGTGATCGCCTTTGATTCTATATGCATAGTTAAAAGAATTCAGTTCTATATGCGGATTATATATTTCTCATTCCAAAAACAAAGCAGTTTAATTCGTAGTGATCATTCATTCATTTGTCACCAAGCAAATCCAAAATATAAATGAAGTTGTAATCTTGTATAATAAAGACAGGATTAATACCAAAGAGTTTGAGATCTCCATCTTCAAGAACTGGAACTTGACCAAATGGCTAAAAGCAAAAAGATATTGTAGTCAAGACAAAACTACAAAAAGTATATGAAGTAATAAATGATAGGTTAGGGAAATATCAAAGATGTGTGTCGCCAAGAGTTTAGAGAGTTGTACGTACGTTGAGATTAGAGAGAAAGGATTTGGTTTTTGATTCACCAGCAACCCAATCTACGAATACAAATTCGAAGTCAAGACCCTTCTCATAGATACCAAAGATAGCTGCCGTATTAAGCCAAAACCAGCCACAGTGAAGCTTCATCTTCGAATCTTCCATGCTGCTTAATTTCTTTGTCTATTCACTTGATTAATGATTGAGTTCGATTGTCAAACTCCGTATTTATAGGTAAGAGATAAACTTCCATCCATTGACTTTGCAAAGATATATCAATTATAGATAACCTTTCTGAGTTGTAAGAGTTCATGATTTATTAGTTCAAAACTTCAAGAATTGAAAAGAAGTAGATTTGACGTAGTACCAACTAGTATATATCAACTAATATATTGAATATTAAGTTTTGTCTTGTATCATGCGTGAGAATAATGCATTGAAAGATATTGAAAATCTTGATATTGCGGTTAGGACGAGAACATGGCCAATTCCTGCCTCAACACACTTCCAAATGATAATTAACAATGAAGTCCCGAATAATTGTACAAATTCATACTCAAACCCTTAATCATATCGAAATATAGAGAACCTTGTGCTTTTGTCCTTCAATGTCTTTATTAGTTTTTTAACCATATATTTCTGCTTAAAACATATCTCAGTGCTAGATAGAAGAGAGGAAGGTGGGTTTGAGTCCCCCTTGCAAATACAATAGAAACTCTATAAATTAATACTTGATAAATTAATAAACACTATAAATTAATAATTTTTCATGGTCACAAGTTGGGCCAATTCAAAATATGACATAATTCGATAAGATAATAAGATAATAACTTTTAACAAAACTCTTATGTAAATATATGGTCCCATTATAATCATAAATTAATAATTACTATAAATAAAATTTGATATAAACATATAAGTGAGATAATCTACCAAAATATAAGTTTAGTGATGTTTTTTAATTATTTTAAATTGAAGTTTTCTTAGAATTCTTTTTTAATTTTTGAAAGAATTTTTTAAATATTATAAATTTCAAAGAAAATCTTTTTTAGAATTTAAAATTAATAAAGAATATTTTTATTTAAAATCTATAAATTAATAACTCTATAAATTAATAAAATATCAAAGTCCCAACATTATTAATTTATAGAGTTTTTACTGTACATGGTGGAACTTTCTTTTGAAACAAAAATAAGGCCAACATTCAAAATAAAATTATAAGATGATATATTCGGAAAAAAAACTCAGTATTTTTGAACAAAGATTCCTAAAAATAATATACAGTAAAACCTATATAAATTAATACTCTATAAATTAATAATCATTATAAAATAATAAATTTTGTCTGTCCCAAGTTGGACCAATGTAAAATTCAATCAAATTCGATAAGATAATAAGATAATAATTTTTTTTTGAAATCTCTATATAAATATATGGTCCCAACAAAAACATAAATTAATAATTGTACAAATTTATGTAAGTATATATAATATACTATACTAAAATATGACTAATGTATTTTTTTTTTTACTTAAAGTTGAAATTTCATTGGTGTTTATCTTTTTACTTAGTACATTTCTATCTCTTATTTTTGTTTTTCTATATACATTCAAATTTGTGAAGATTTTTTTATGTGATAATTGATTTTATTACACGTAATTTTTTACAAATGTATTGTAGTATTGTCTTCAATTTCATCTTTTTGATAATAGCCATAGTTTCTTATAAATTTTGAATTTTTAAACATGTATTATTTTAATAGACAAATTAATATACTATTAAAAACTTTTTTGTTATGATAACTATGTTTATTAATCATAATTTTTAATAAGATATTTTCTTAAATTCTTAAATATAACATTATTCAAAAAAATGTTTAGAAGATTATAGGCGAAAACCAGATTATCTCTATAAATTAATATCACGATAAATTAATAAAATTTCATGGTCCCAACATTATTAATTTATATAGGTTTTACTGTATCTCAAAATTTACCTTTTTTAATTTTTTTTTATAAATTAGGCTAACATCATTTAACTTTTTATTTAAATTAACACATTATACAATATTTTTAACACTAGTAAAGGCCCAAACTAAGTTGGGCTTCTTTCCCTACAGTATCTGTTCAACACGACATCGTTTTGACAAAATGTCTTCCTTCAGACAACAACGAGTGGGATGACGTCAACATTTCACTACAGTTTCCTTTTAACCTTTCCTCGCAATTACACCTCTCTCTGTCTCTTTAATCCTTATCTCATCATCGTATCTGCATTTCTTTGAGATTTAACGAAATTAGGTGATCGGTGCATGACGAGCGCATCGGAACTCTTCTCCACTCGAAGATCGCGTCCGGGTAGATCCGACCCGGATTTCGAATCCGACTCATCTCTTCATCGACACCACTCACACCATCACCATCATCACCATCGCCGTCACGGAATCCATCATCACAATCACCGTCATGATTCCGACGGCTGTGATTCTCTCCGGAGAGCCCCGCCACGTCTCCGACGCTTCTATCACCATCTTGGTCTCCCGGTTAGCTTCTAAATCAATCACTTGTTAGTAAAATGAAAATCTTGCCTAATTTGTTAATTATATCCCTTTTGGTTCTTTTGTCTCCAGGAACGTAGACCTGTTCATGGCACTTCACAGTATCTGAATACGAACAGTGCTGATTCAGAAACTGATGACAGCAACATAAATGGATCCGAGAGGCTTCCTGGAGCTGTTTTGCTTGCAAGGGCAAGACTTTTCGAAAGATTGAGAGGTGTTTCTTTGTCTAATGACAGGTCTGTACCTTAATCCACAAATTTGATTTGCAGTGTTGTGTGATTTTAGATGTTTCTAAGATAAATCGCTTTGTCTGATCGAGATTTTTTTATGATTCCGGTATTTAAGGAACAATAAAGACTTTTGCCTAAAATCTGTTTTTGTGGATTCTCTCAGGAGTAAGAAAATTTAAAGATAGTTTCTTGTTACTCAAAAACTTTTGACTTTAATCTAATTTTTATCGTTATCTCGCTAATCATTCATGTATAACAAAAAAGAGAAAGTTTCTCAGGTGTTCTCTGTTGTTCTTTTTCACAATTTTGGGTGCTGAATTTGTGTTGTTTCAATTTTGTTTTTTTGGTTTAGTCCAAGCAACAGAGTTTCACAGGGAGACAATCAGGTGGAGTCCTCATTGCATTCAGCAGATGCGGTTTATTACTATGGAGATCCAAATTTTCAAGTGTCCTATGAATGCAACAAGAAACCACAAGGTCTCACTCAAGGTGCCATCAACTGTTTACACAGGCAAACTTATAGCTCAGCCGAGGTTAATAACGAGAGGAGAGATTGTAGCATATGTTTAGAGAGTTTCGCTAAAGGCGACATACTTATATCCTTACCCTGTTCCCATAGTTTTCATTCTTCGTGCTTAAACCCTTGGCTTAAAGCTTGCGGCGATTGCCCTTATTGCCGTAGAGCCATTAGTAATTAGAAAATCTTCGCCACACGACATCTTTTGTTCTTCTTCTTGCTCTAGACAACTTTAAAACCGGTCTTTGTTTTTGCCCATTGAGTGTTTTTCTCTGTCACGAGTTTGTATTCGTAACAGTTTTTTGTGTGCCATTGGGAGGTTCAAGTGTTTTGTATTGTAGTCTTTCTGTGTGTGAATCTTTTTAGTCTTGTTGGTTATCAAAGACTTTTTCAAATCTTGATCCTACAACTCGGTTATGTTTTGAGGTTAAAAGCTCAACAGCTTTACGTTTTCATCTCTAGATATTTTTTATTATTGTCTCAATCCGGAAATGTTTAAGCTTGGTTGCCTCCATAACGATGTCGTTATCATGCATCCATGTATGTTACATATGTGGACGTCAAATATATAAAGATGCAATCAATTGTATAACTTTAAAAGAAAGTTAATGAAAAAAGAAAAGACAGTTGTGCAAAAAGCATATCTTTTTAAACTACAAAAGCAGAAAAATGGACCCATTTTCTTTATAATCATCATCTTCAATTCCTTTCATAAAATCCCTTTAATGTTTCCTAACTATCACTTTCTCTATAGGTACCTAACACAACTCACTCACTAACCACTAACATTAACAATACATACATTAAGAATGTCTTCACTACTTTCTATCACATCGATTTCATGTCTCAACTACATTGTGCCTAATATGATTCAAATTCAAGCAACGTGGACCGGTTTGGTTCGGTTCCTGACCCGTGTGTAACAATGGAAGAACATAAATAGATTCACTAATTATCAATGAACTTTCCATAGAAATCAAATTCAACATGTAAGCAGCAATTCTCCTTCACTTGCCACTAACATTTTTGCAAATCAAGACCCATCACCTTACTCAAAAATATTGAAGGTGTCAATTGAAAAAAAAAAACAAACAAAACGAAATCAGAAGAAAAAAATCGTGTGATCAAACTCCTAATATGTGAGCTTCTAAACAAAATGGGGAAGTTAGTTTGATTCCAAGTCTTGAGTCTTGTTACCAGTAATTGCTATGAACAGATTGCATCTTCCCTACCAAACTCAGACATCGACATGCCATACCGGGTTACCGTCAAACCTTCCTTTCTCCAAGGCTGCAACTTTAGCTCTATGAGCTGTTGCAGCCAACGCGATCGAGCTTTTGCCTTTCTCCTCTTGATTCGAGTACTCGCAGGCCTCGGTTAACGAACTAGACCTAAGATCAGCCGGTGGGATAAAGCAATCTGGTGACAGACCAGGAACATTGAAAGCGACTTCTTCAATGGTCCATTTTTCCTCCATCTTTGTCCTCGTGTGGCTCATCGCCACTTCCCCAAATCTGAAAAGGGTAACAACAGAGCGTCCAGAGTGAGCAATCATGATCCCTTCCACTTGCTTGTAATCCTCTAGAGACGAGTTGATCGTGGTTTCCCAGTAAACAGCATCACCACCATGGGATTGCATCCGGGTCAGCTGAGAATCCTCAATTTGAACTAAAAGTCCTGTTCTTTGGCTGAAGTAACCGAAAAGGATGTGTCTTACGATCTCTGCTGGTCCTTCACTCCTTGCCTTTAGGGTTTCAGGGTCAGTGCATAGCTTCAGAATGAAACAATCTTCACCATTCACTTTCTTCTCTCCAACGCATTTGGATTCAGCAAACATAGTCGCAGTAGTTCTCGGATCAAGTCCCTGATTAACCATTTCAACATGAAAATCAGCAATGGTTTGATTACAACAATCATGTACACTTTCACTGTTTGGTTGGGTATAATAACCTGAAGTGCACGACGAAGAGGCCTGACGGGTCCTTTAGCAGTGTGAGAACCGAGCCAAGGAGTGTGTCGCCAAACGAGCTTGCCATTGCAACCAGCACGAACCTTACTACCACCAACAGAGAGCTCAACGTACCACATGTCTGGATTCATCTGCCAGAGAACGAACCCTCCAGCTTCTGACTTTGTTGGGTTTCGATTTCGAACTGTTCTTGTGGGAGTTTCGAGCTCTGAGGTTATCATCTTGAGCTTACCCATAGCGTAAGCATTTTTAATGGAGTTTTGTAACTTGTGACCACCTGAAGCCGCCGTGTACTGTTGCAGAATGTACTGAGCAGATGATTTTTCCTGCAAGAGACATATCAATCACCGGAGAAACAAAATCAGTGAAAACAAAAATCAATTTTTTTAGTAACTAATTTGATTATTATATTTCAATCAAAATCCCCACCAGATAATGACAATACTCCACCAACCAATCCAAAATCGGCCAAAATAAATAAATTTGAATAGAATAGGCATCACGGAGATTCCAAACAAAAAACAAACAAAAAAAAACATTTGAAATCGAAAACGTCGAACACAGAGAGATCTGGAATCAATTTTTTTTTGGGTTTAAAAAATGCAAATAAATCAGTTTTTATCTAATTGAAAATTTTCAAAACCCTACAAAAAATGTGGAATCGAAGGAAGACTAACGATAGATGTATCTTTGATGGTGAGGTGAAGCAAGAGATGATCGGAGGAGGAAGAGACGTGAACGGGTGCGAGAGGAGCTCCCAAGACGCCGAGGAGCAGTCTCAAATCGGACCTCCGATAACCCGACGTAGAAGCCACGGACGGAGCACGTGATAACTGACCCTTGACCCAGTGACCTAGACCCGACCCGAGTCGTTTCGAATCCCCTGAAATTTCACCTCCACCTCCTCCATCGTTAGTATCGTCTGGATCAGGACCTTCCATTACGGGCCTTAAGCTCCCGGATCTTCCAGTCAACGGCTCCGGTTGCGTCGCTAAGTAATATCCGCCGCCGCCGCCGCCGCAGCCGGAACTCGCGATTAGTTTCTTCCGACCCCAGAGAAGAGCTGAATTCGAGCGGGATGGGCTCGCGGAACGAGAACGTGGTCTTGAGCGAGAAGGTGAAAGACCTCTCACGACTTCGTCTCGAAGTGATGAGAAAAAGCCTTGTTTCTTTTCCATTTCTATGGAGTTTGATTTAAGCCTTCTTTGTCTTCGACCTCGTGACTGAAAAAAAATTAAATCGAAAAACCCTAAGCAAACAGAGACGCCGGAGAAAAAGAGAGAGAGTGTGTGTGGAAGGAGAAGAAGACGCAGAGAAGAGAGAGAGAGAGAGATTTAAGGACCCGAGAGTGAGTGAAGAAGCGAGAGAGAAAATGATTTTCTCGGTTAACGGAAATGACTATTTTGTCCTCTCTATTTGTGAAACGAATCAGTGCTATTTTACGGGGGAAATAAAATGACGTTATTGTCGAAAAGAAAATGAAAAAAAAAAAATCGACGCGTTCTCTGACATGTATAACGCGACTGGTTGAGAGAAGTGGCGATTTTATCACCATTTCGTTTTTTTTGTTAATATTGATATAAGAAAAAAATAAATGTGTAGAACTGTAGATAGTTAAAAATCCCTCTATGTAAGTATAAATATTGTTCGTGTTCACGATTTAATGAGAGCTAGAGAAGAGTGTGGAAACGTGACTGAAGAATGTAAAGAGAGTTAAAAACTAGACATCAAATAAAGTGTGGTGTTCGCTAGTGTGGATGGTTAAGACCCTGTTCGTTTTTTATCTAGATGCTGCATCTAGATTTTGCATCTAGATACAACATCTAGATATTGTTTGTTTTGGAAACTATATTTTGCATCAAGATGCTACGTCTAGATATTAAATTGTTTATTTGTGAATTTAGAAAAATAGTTGGATGCAAATTATATCAAATGATTAAAAAGGACATATTTTTGAATTATTATTTTTTAATAAATTATATTTTTATCAAAATAAGTTTTAAAAATATATGAATTTTTTTTTGCATTTTTTGTGGGAAAATGATTTTGTATATTTGACGGAAAAAATTTTTACTGGAATTTTGAGTTTTTGATGGAAAATCAAAAAATTGTGTTTTTGGTAATCAAGATTTTGCGTTTTCGGCAAGAAACCGAGAGTTTTTGTTTCCGGCGAGAAACCGAAATTTTTTCGTTTTCGGAGAGAATTCGAGATTTTGCGTTTTTGACGAGAAATCAAGAGTTCTCATTTTTGGTGAGAAATCGAGATTTTGCGTTTTTGGCGAGAAACCTAGATTTTTTGTTTTTGGCGGAAAATCGAAATTTTGTGTTTTGGCGGGAAATCAAGATTTTCGGTTTTCGGCAGAAAATCGAAAATTTTTCGTTTTTGGCAGAAAATCGAAATTTTACATTTTTGGCGAGAAACTGAGATTTTTCGTCTTTGGCGAGAAACAGAGAGTTTTTGTTTTTTGACGAGAAACTGAGAATTAAAGTTTTGGCGGGAAATCAAATTTTTTTGTTTTTTAGCGAAAAATTAATATTTTTCGTCTTAGCAGAAAACCGAGATTTTGTGATGTTTGTAGAAATCAAAATTTTGTGATGTTTGTAGAAATCAAGATTTTTATTTTAGTAAGGGCATTAATATCTTTTACATAAACTAGATGCAAACGCTGCATCTAAACTCTCTATTTCTGAGCATCTAAAATATCCAGATTTTTGAGATGCTAATTAATTTGGATCCAAATGCTGCATCTGAACGCAAATTTTTTTGTGAAAAAACAAACAACATTTGGACATTTGCAGCTAGATACAGCATCCAGCATCCAGCAATACGTAAACGAACTGGGCCTACTATAAGACAAATAGAGACATAGTTTGATTTAAATGGGCTTTGTTCTCCAACCGATTGGTAATGGGGCGATTATGATCTTATTTGCGATTAGAAACAAAACGTTTAGAAATGGTAAAATACAGGGTAGAGAGAAGATTAGTAGTTGAAATCCTCTATACACTATTTGCCAAATAAGTTTTTTAAGGGCTCTATTCTTCTCAAACAATGTCGACAATTAACGAAAGCATTTTGAAATCCGTTTTACTAGAAGCTCAAGGCAGTGGCAGGCCCGTGCTGCTGAAAAGTGCGTTTTGAAATCACATGTTTTTAAAAAATAACTTTTGACTGAAGTGAAAGCTCAGTTGAAAGATGAGGGTACTGCAATCATCTCAAACAGAGGAAATTATTGTTATTATGCTTATAATAGGGTCCATAGATAAAAATAAAAAAATAAAAAAATACTGGTTTATAGACCGATATTTACTCAATGGAGCAAGTGGTTCAGCTTCAGAAAGAGCTTCATGGGTCTTTTTGTTTGATCGTTAGTTTCGTGATGGACAACAAAGAGACTTGAGTTATAAAATTAATCAACAACTTTAACCTAAAGGAGGCGATAATGATGTGGTCAAAACCTTCTTCTTTTGGTTTTAGAGTTTTTCGCATTGATGCGGTTCATAATAGTAGTTAGTATTAAAAAAATATGGGAAGTTAAAGAAGAACAAAAAAAGGATATGATTATCACATACATGACAAAACTGGAGGACTTCCACTAAACCAGATCCATAAATTACCAAAGTAAGAATGTGAGAATACAGAGAAACTTGAACATCATCATCATCATCAGCTTCATTCTATAAATTAGAATCAGAGAAGCTGCGGGTACAGACGCTCAGGCCATTTGGGATAAGCGCGCTTGTACAGGTTCATACACACAATGTCATGTTGCTGCACCACTCCATTGAATATACATTTCATTGCCCCTGTGCACATTTCCAACATGTATTAAGCAAATATTCTAGAAACCAAACTCAAACCTGAAATCTCTTTTCTAATAATAGCAATAATGACTTACCATGTGTACCCACTGGCTCCTTCACGCGACCACGACGCCCACATTTTGACCACACTTCTACAGGCTGCACCCAAGAAATTGTTCTTTTAGCTTTCACTCATATATTAATAATAATACATACATCTTTCAATCCATAGATTTTACTTATTACTTTTCCTTCTTACCTTAAACCATCTCACGTCTTCCGGGTTGTGGAACATATATCTGACTGATGCTTTCATTTTTGATACTCTCTGAGGATACCTGAACCAAGCCACATTCAAAACTGTTTAGTTAAAACTATATTCTTTTTCCTTCTCGGTTCACATGACAGAGCTTTAATATGTATGCAAACTACACATGGAAAGAGAAAGGAAATAAGGTTTACCCAGTTAATATTATCTTCTTCAAAATTATTTTGTTGGGTTCAATGCTTTTCAAGGAACCAAGGGCAGCAACGGCAGGAGCATCCGATCCTTCAGAAATCTTCAGAACTACCAAAGGAAGAGATGGGAAAGATATTGGACCGTATACTGAAGCCAATGAGAAACGCCCTGGATGCAGGAATCTCTCCATCTTGTGCTTGTCTGAGCTGAAATTGTCGGTTGAAAATACCGGCCTGGAAATTTCCCCACACCATTAATACTAATGATTGCAAACAAGAAAAGCTATCGCAGTAGATGAAACGGGGAAAAATCTGCAACCTTGCAATGAATTGGCGAAAACCAACATGGAACATCAGCTCTTCTTTAGTTTTAATAGGGGCTTCGTAACCATCATACTTCTTTACGCTGCGGAGCATAGTTAAAGGCGATGATAAGGTGGCTGAGCAAACAAGGTCTCAACAAACAAAAATATAAACAGTAAGATGTTGATTACCTAAAGTGAAGAACCGACATCTTGGATTCATGCTGTAATAGCCCATATGATATAACGGGTTTCGTGCTCACGAGGGATGATAGTTTAGAGGCAGCAACAAGAGGCACTTCCTTAATATGCAGCCGTACATATGACCCAGGGTGTACACAATCATCTCTGCTTTCTTCTTCCATCTTCAGGGCTTGCTTGAGCACAAGCTTTTGAGTCCTAGCGACATTATCAAAAGCAAATATTCTGGCATAGTCCTGAGGTAGAGACTCCTGCATTTGCCAACAAATAATAAAAATTCGTAAAACTTTACAGTAACAGTGAAATAATGAGCTTCGCATCAAGATCAGAGTTACTACGTTTGGATCCCACGAGGAGGTTCTGAAGGATTTGAGACCCCTGTACTTGGCAAAACGTTTTCTTGCAGGCTGATCAATGGGAGTTTCTACTTCATCTGGGAATTCTGAAAAAGAAACAATAGAAGATGTTAATTCACTTGCGGTAATCTTAATGAGAAAATACAAGGAAGACAAAATCAATGAGCACATGAGAGATTCAGACACTCTACAAGGACTCAAATGAATATGTGCACATACATACAGACACATGATGACTCATACAGAAAATAACTCCACAACGTAAAAATAAACACCAACCCTCATCCTCAGCATGTGCCTCTTTAATTTTCTTGATTTGATCCTCATATTGTTCCCTTGTCAAGTTTTCATCATCCTGAACAATGAGTAGATTGGCTTATAACTTTATCAAGATACTCAATCATAATAAAACATGCAGTGAAGCTACAAATACAGTTTGCCAGTCACACAAGTAAATGGAGAAAATGCGTACCATCATCTCGGAGTCATTATGAGTTTCACTATCCAAATCCCGCAGGTTCAATGTTTCTTTATCATCATCAAAATCTTGGTCTTGATCGGAATAATGATCCTCTCCTCTATCCAATACCATACCATCATCATCGGAATCACCATATTCGGAATCCTCTTCATCTGTTTCATCCACAATCCAAGCAGCCTGCAAATCAAATCATAAACAACAAATAATATGAGGGCCACCGAATTATGACATGTTATGTGGAGGAAAATTGCACCGGAGACGGGAATAGTTAAAGTGAAGCTAAGAAAATCAGGTTAAAAATCATCCAGAAACCTGATATTCTGAAGTGCCTCGTGGCAAATTTCTCTTCTTTGGCTTTCCCTGTTTCTGATCTCTGTCAGCCTCAGCCTCAGCCATTTCTTCCTCAGTTGGCCATGTCTACACAATTGGAGCATCACACAACAAGTGACTTCCCCGAACAGATAACAACACAAGCAAACTGGCCCCTTCTTCCGTTAAAGAACTAATCAGACTTACCTGTTCTCCTGATAAAGGATCTGGAGTATTTTCAGCTACTAAAGGCTCTTGTTTTATGGGATCAGGAAGCACAGACTTTAATACCTGGTCGATTCAATTACAGATAAAAAGGATAAAGTGAACTGACATAAAGAGAAGAAGCACAATAACATATTATTTCATAAT